GGTATAATGTTATTATTATTATTATTATTATTTAAAAATATTTTAAAACGGTAACTCTTCAGGGCTCGTAGGCACCTGCTTTTCAAGAGGCCATTTATTACAGTATTTACAAGCTATATAAATATAATAACACAAATATACACACAAAAACAGAGAAAACATAACGAACTTAATAATTGCATGCACTACATTTGTATCTAAAAATATCCTATCCCATTTAAATATTTACAAAGTTACCAAAAGGAATCAAATGCCGTCAAGAATACGTTTAAATTTGTTAAGGCTAATGCCTTTTTCTTTTGCTGTAGTTGATAAGTCATTCCAAAGGGATACAGCTGAATAACTGAAGCTCTTTTTCATAAAATTTGTTTCAGGTTTTCCAAGATCATAGTTGTTATTGTTACTTCTTAAATCATATCTGTCTTTTATTTTTATTTTGAACATGTTGCACTGAATTGATGATGGCATTTTTTCGTTTCGTATTCTGTGCATAAAAATCGATTTAATGGTTTTATAGCGTTGGTTTAAAGGTTGCCAGTCTAATTCTTTTAAAACATCCTCAGAACTAACTTCATAAGTTTTACCAGTGATGATTCGAGCCGCTCTGCTTTGTAATTTCTGAAGTCTGTTTTTTAAGTAATCATAACAGTTATCCCACACCAAGCTACAATAATCAAAATGTGATAGCACAATGGCATTATATATTTTTACTAAGGTTGATTTGGGAACAAACTGTTTTATTCGTCTCATCATTCCTATTCCTTTTGAAGCTTTTGTGACAATATTTTGGATTTGATGATTCCATAAAAGATGTTCATCAATAATTACGCCTAAAGTTTTTGATTTGTGAACCCGTTTAATGACTGATTCGCCAAGTTCAATTTTAGGGTCCGTTAGTACTAAGTTTGAAATTCGTTGTCTTGAACCAATAATCATGTATCACGCCTGGCATTTTTGCATGCGAAAACGCTAGTTCGCCATTCATTATGACCTGCGGTATTCTTCAAAAAATGCTGCGTGAGCATAATTAATTTGACAAGATGGCGGCCGTTCGAAATGGCAATTTTAGTCTTGACGAGGTCTTAAATCAAGATATTTTGAACGACAGCTGTGTCGAACGGCTGGTAGATTATTTTCAGAAAGTAATGGAGGCCCTTGGTAGCTGCACTCGGGAGAAAAGCTGCCAAAACGTCGCGTTTTTCGTGGATGAATGTGCCGAGCAAGTTGAAACTTTACTCGAAGCTCATGATTCTCTGGATTAAATGTGCCACGGAAGATGACTAATTCCATAAATCCAGCGCCAATACTACAAAGGGAAGCTCGGCTGTGGCTGGCAGGAATTTGACGGCGGATAGGGGGCAAAACGAGTATCAGAAACCCATATTTATTTACTCAGTTTATCATGTTTTCAATAATCGTAGGAAATGTTCGGGGTTTGTACGGATTCGTTGAACCGTTTTGTTTTCACTGTGATGTCAAGAAGGCTATTGTTATTTATTTTACTTTAATGCGCTTTGTCAACGAGTTATTTGCTTTATTATCTGGGTTGTCCAAGGATGTTGTGCCTGGCTACTTTGGGCAAAGTTGAAAACTATATATGGATTGGAGAGTGGAATGTCAATGGATTTCCTCAGCATGTTTGCTAGTAATGTCTGAAATATTATAATTCATTAAAGTATAGTCAGGTATATTGTAACAGTTGTGAAGATGTATTCTCTCAAACTCTCTCAGCATTCACATTATGACATTATTAATTATTATAAGAGCTAAATAGCTGATAAATAGTGTATTGGCTGCCTCCATCCCTTCCTTTTTGTGATGGATTGTCACCCTTGGTCCCTTTATACCCAATGACTCTTCACAGCTGTTGCAGACATATCCAAAAATTGTTAAGATAATTGGTAATTCTTAAAATGCCCATGCATAACTGGTCATTGCTACCAAAATCATTTCTACCTATGTCAAAATTATCAGCATGTATGTACCATTATTACATGTATTTATACTGTTACTGTGGCAATGACCAACAAGTACGGGTAATGGGAATTGCCAAATAGTTGTCCATTTCATGATGTCAGAGTATGTTTCTCTGATGACTGGTTTTCTATAAATACCCAGATAGGAAAGGAAACAACTCAAATATTTTAGTGAAGTGAAAGTTAAAAATCTAATTTCTCTTTGCAATATTGGTGTTGGAATTATGAAATGAGTCAACCCTGAACCAAGTGTTGTAGGTTTTCTCTGGGTACTACGGTTTACTCACACAGGAAGAAAAATCTGTTTGAAAAAGTTGTCCACTTTCATGACCATTTGACTGGCACTGCATGCATTTATTGTTGACCTACAGACAAGGGATTCAAAGCAATACATTTTGCCAGAAGTAATTATTTGCACATTCAGCTTTTTATTTTCTTATCTCAATCAATCTGCAGGCAAAAATCATTGCATACAACACAAATATAATGATGTGGACATCAACTGATATCTTGTTTTTTTTTTAAGAAATACAATGGTTTACATAGGTTATGATATGGTTAGGTAAAAATAATACTATATACAAATTAGCATAATATATCTAACCCAGAATAAGAACATCTATACAAAGTGAGAGGTGCAACTTTAAATAATAACAACATAGTGTTGATATATGCTAATTTGTAGATGTATATGTAGTTTTCTGTATAATTGTATTAATATATTCTATATTGTTATTAATATTTTTGTATATACTTTGTTATGACTAAATGCATCTGATTGGTTTAATTTTTGTCACATGATCATAAAAGCTCGTGTAATTTTCCAGACCCTGCAACAAACTTCCCGACGAAGGGCCTTCGCTCGAAACATTGTCCTTGTATTTTTCAGGTAGTTGCATCCCTACCAAACAGGGGCGAAACTTG